CTTGTACAGCCTTTTGGAAATCAGTATGGTGACTTCTCAGAAAATTGGGAATCAATCTACTTCAAGACCCAATGATATAACTCTTGGGCATATACCCAAGGCAGACTCAACCATACTACAAGGACACTTGCTCAATTATGTTCATAGCAGCATTATTCATAATAGCCAGAACCTGGAAACAACCTAGTGTGGTATTGTGTTCCCCGAAATATTGTGCATGCTAATAAACTTATCTGGGGTCAGAGACAGAACAGCTATACTATTAAACATAAAGGATAAGCAGTGGTAGCACACACCTTTAATTCTAGCATTCCAGAGGCAGAAATCCATATGTTCAAGGATACAGTCAAGCATGGTGACTCATGCCTTTAATCCCAGGGAGTGATGGCAGAAAGCAGAAAGATATATAAGGCGTGAGGACCAGAAACAAGAAGCATTTGGCTGGTTAAGCTTTTAGGTTTTGAGCAGCACGGTTCAGCTGAGAGCCATTCGGATATGAGGACACAGAGGCTTCCAGTCTGAGGAAACAAGACCAGCTGAGAAGTTGGCCAGGTGAGGTTAGCTGTAGCTTGTTCTGTCTCTCTGATCTTCCAGTGTTCACTCAAATAACTGGCCTCAGTTTTGATTTTACTAATAAGAACTTTTAAGATTCATGCTACAGCCTAGATACCCCTCAACTGAAGAATGGATAAAGAAAATGTGGTACATACACACAATGGAGTATTACTCAGCTGTAAAAAACAATGACATCATAAAATTTGCAAGCAAATGGATGGAACTAGAAAATATCATCCTGAGTGAGGTAACCCACTCAGAAGGACAAATAAGGTATATACTCACTCAAATGTGGATACTAGATGTAAAGCAAAGAGTAACTAGGCTACAACCCACAGCTCCAGAGAAGCTAGGTAACAAGGAGGATCATAGAGGATCCCATGGATCACCTTGGGAAGGGAAAATGGATGAGATCTCCATGAGTAAACTGGGGGGGAGGTGGGGGGCAGTAGAGAGGAGGGGATGGGGACACAAGGGGACAGGATAGTTGAGCTGAGAGAGGGATGAAGTGGGAGAGCAATGAAAGAGATATTTTGATGGAGGGAGACATTATGGGGTTAGGAAAGTTCCCAGCAATCCACAAGGACAACCCCAGCCTAGACTACTAGCAATAGTGAAGAAGGTGCTTGAGCTGGCTTACTGCTGTAATCAGATTGGTGAATACCCTGTCATCATAGAGCCTTCATCCAGTAACTGATGGAAGCAGATGCAGAGATCCACAGCTAAGCAGCAGGCCAAACTCTGGGAGTCCAGTCGAAGAGAGGGAAGAGGGATTATATGAGCAAGGGGGTTCAAGATCATGATGGGTAAATCTACAGAGACAACTGAACCAAGCTCATAGGAACTCACGAACTTTAGACCAACAGCTGTGGAACCTGTATTGGACCAGATTAGGCCGTCTACATATGGGAGACAGTTGTGTAGCTTGATCTGTTTGAGGGGACCCTGGCAGTGGGATCAGGATCCATCCCTGGTGCATGAGCTGCCTTTTGGAGTCCACTAACTATGGTGGGATGCCTTGCTCAGCCTAGATGCAGGGGGAAGTGGATTGGTCCTGCCTCAACTAAATGTACCAGGCTTTACAGACACCCCATGGCATCCTTTACCCTTTTGGAGGAGGGGATGGGGGGATGGGGCAGTGGGGAGGAAGGCTGGAGAGGAACGGGGCAGGGAGGAAATGAGTGGGGGATCTATGGTTGGTATGTAAATGAATAAAAAATTTTCTTAAATTAAAAAAAAACCTGTTGAGGTGATAGATCTAGAAGATTTTAGAAATGAAACCCCATCTTTCAAAACTCTTAAGAACAAACAATGTGCTCATAGTATTAGCTCTTTACTGTTTCTCATGTTTAGAATCTTCTCCAAAGATCTAGGAAGACTGTGTAGAAAATAGAATGAAACCATTTTGTTTAAAATTTGTTTATGATTATCTATGATTAGAATTATTTATGATTAGACAAAATATTTTAAAATAAATAAGGAATAGTAGAAACAACATGTAAGTCTCTATGTAAGCAATAAGGACTGGAAAAAATTTAATTGCAGTAGGAATACTTAGCTTGGAAATGGATGTTGTTGGAACTACCTGAGTCAATCTTCAGTCATATAACCAAAAGTTATTTCTTTTGTTTTAGCACTGTAGCTAGTGTAGATCAATCTTGCTTCATGTTGCTTTCTACATATCACATATGAAAGACATGTATGCATGGCATACACATATCCCTTTTTAACAAAATACTACCTAAATCTCAAACTCTCTCTCCCCTCCACCCTCTTTTTATGTCCCTAACTTCCATTGCTCTATAAACTGCATGTCTCTCCTAGTCATGAACTTGGGATGTCATTTTTGGTTTTATATTCACATACACTGTCACAGCTTGGGATGTCCTCGGTGAATATCGGGAGTTTAACATGCTTCCTGTAGCCCTTTGTGGCTTCATTAATGGACCTGTTCAAATGCATTAAAACACACAATACAGTAATGAATTTGTTAATATCTTATTTTGCACTAGTCACTATCAATATTTTATCAATATCATGTTGGTTTTAAATAAAAGACTATCAGTTCAGCAATATGCATTATAGATTAGGGAATGTTCAAAAATATTTCAGCAACAAAGACATGTTTAGGTAATTGCAGAGACCCACAGAGGTTTCTTATTAGCAACTTATGCAGTGTCTGAGAATCTGAGCTTGCTTTACCCAGCAGGGCTGCATAAAGGGTATTTGACCATGGGTATGGTTACCAGGTATTTGGAAGGGTCTACAATTGGCTGTGTGGTGTGCATTGATCTAGACAGGAGGAGGTCTTTTGCCCCGCCCCCTAGTATTGTTATTAAAAAAACCCCTTTGAAGAGGCAGAGGGACTGGGTGGGTTTGATCCAGGTCCTCCTGAAGCTATCCTGTGTTTCTGTCTTTCTCCTCTTCGTTTTCTTTCTATCTAAAAGTTTCTTATCCCTCTCTCCTCCTCATAGGAACGCTTTAAAAGGTGGGAGCTGGCCTCACACAGATTGGCACCAGAACTAGGGACTTGGGTGCAGAGGAAGTAAGTGGGGGAGAAAGAACCACAGAAGCAGCTGGACATGTCTGGTTTTGTATTAAGTTTAAGGTGGTGGTATTTTATTCTTTGAGAGCAAAAACTATATAGAAAAGTTAGGCTGCAGCAAGTATCTCTCTGTCTAGGTTTCTCTCTCTCTCTCTCTCTCTCTCTCTCTCTCTCTCTCTCTCTCAATTTCTATCTATTAAATTAATAAAAAAAAAAGTGTAGGGTTTGGGTATAGGAATATTGCATAGAAAGAAATTTAAGAGTAGAATTTTCATAGTGCCGGACCTGAAAACAGCGTCCAGGAACAAGCAGCCACTGTGGACTTAGCAGTCTGAGGAAGAAAAGCTGCTATAGGGCAGGGAATCAGTAGGCAGATGTTTGTATAGTCGTTTGTAGAGAGTTTGAAAACTAGGGAGTTAAGGTAGAACAGCACAAGTACAGAGGTTCTTAGAGTTCGTAGAGGAACTCTGTTCTTGGTTTTCCAACTATGGGACTCTGGATGCAGACTCCTGGGGGAGAATAAGAGTTGAAATGCAAAAACATTAGGAGGAAC